TGACTTGAAATTGTATACATCACCCCATAGAACAGCTAGGCCATACTTAGCTGCAAGGGAGGCTGAGAAATGTATCCTGATGGATATTTGCCCAGGTCAAACCCTGGGGTTTTAGTAATTAAAAGGAATAAAGGGAAAAGGGATGCTACTGGGCTATCTGACTCATAGGGAACTGTTGCATTTGCAATTTTATAAGTTTTCTTAGCTGATCAGTACTGGTACAAACATACAGGTTTTTTAAAATGATATAGTATTTTGTGGTTGTCTTCAACTAATCAAGCTAATTGGAAATTTCCGTTTATTATACTAACTGGAAAATAGGTATAGCTTACTATATAGAAAATATATTTAGGAAAACATTTCCAATATATAGGAAGTATTAATAGAAAGTATATTTTAATTTAAATCTCTTTAAAGAACTATATCAACATAAAAGTTTAATGTTGTATCTGCAAAATTATAGATGATTTTTTTCCTAATAAGAGCTACCTACTTAAATGATAGTCATCATGTAAAATACTGACTTTTACTTTCTATCAGGAAATTATGTTTGAAACTCAGGCACATGTTAATAGTCATGAAAGAGACATCAGATATCTCTAACATAATCATAGCTAGAAATTTGGATGTGGTGGTGAATAGTTAAAATTCTTACTCACAGAAGGCTAGACAAGAAATGTAAAGGTTGCTTATTTGCGAACACCTATTCCATTTGATAATGGTCTTACTGAAAATAATTATTTCCTTTATTTAGACAGCTTCTATTAATTCAATTTACTATGATACTACAGAAAGGTAATTTTGAGTATCAGTTATCTTCATATGGAATATGAATCCAAATAATAAAAGTTAGGGCTAATGTCTAGATCAAACTTTGTATAAAAGAAAATTATTGGGAAATAATCCTTCAGAATAAAGACAATACACATTCTTGAAAACTTTTCCCCTGTGATTTTTAATGTAAACATATTCACAGGGTCTATGCTATAAGACTAGCATAGAAATTACTCCTTCATAGAAATATCTGGTGCAGCAGTGACCTACTTCTTTTGAGTGGACACTATATTCCAGTATATGTTTCATTTCACCAATTTTTTGATTTGACGAAATATCTAAGTTTTTATATTAGGAAATTCCCTTTTGTTTACCTTGAGCAATATTCCTATAAAATCTACACATCACGACTTGCCTTTTGAAATTACTCCTTATGTGCCACGATGCTGCCAGCAAGATAGAATAGGTTGGCACAGCCCTTCTCATTTTCATCTTCGGTATTCTCTCTCTCACAGTATTTCTGTTAACTTTTGCCATGTTTACATAAGAAAACAAACTTAGGGTTGTTGTGGAATTGGTTGGGGGTCAGAACCAAAATTACTTTTCATCCGTAGGCTTCCTTTTGTAGTGACTTTGGGAACATTTTAGACGTAAATTTCAGAAAAAGAGAAATAGCTAACTATGTCTCCTCCTGTCTGCAGCAGCTGCAGATAAGAGAGGGCTTTTTTGTGTGGGGCTGGTAATAGGCATCAGGAAACTACAGTAAGTAATCTTTGTATCACTGTTGTTAAATTGACATGCTAAAGAAACCGAATGCCACAGTGCTAGCACTAGAAGAAATGTGTGGGATTTTTTTCCAACTCAGCACACTTGTTGAATTTTTTTGGTTTTGTTTTTAAAAATTTTACTTGCCACAATAGTATAAAAAATGATGAATGAAAAACAAATCAAAAGTATGCATTCTTTACTGCATGGGAATATTGTTTTGAGAACTGAAGTAGAAATTCTCTCTCAGATATTGAATGTCAAAGGATTATACCTTTATCATTCTCTTGCTTCACATCCATTGTGACAGGGTTAAAATACATTATTATTACTGGCCTCTCCTAGGTAGAGTATGAAGAACTGCTTCGTTACACTATAGTGACTCCAAATATTGAATCAAGTGTTCCACAGCCATCTCATTCTAAGGGAGAAGCATTGCCAGATGTTAGACTTCCTACTGTAATTGATACTCGTCATAATCAAGGTTATGTATATTTTCCAAGTATCTCTTAATTTAAGGTGTTATTGAGCTTACTAATGATGTTGACATTATGATAATGAAATGTTTTTCCAATGACTCTTCTCAATCAATGGTATCACTCATCAGGATGAACCATCAGCTAGAACTTATCAACAGTATATACATGGTCATGGAGGACTATTTAGATTATTGCTGCAAAAATGAACTCATCTTTACACTATATCAATGATGGGAATGAGAACTACTCTACAGCAGGATATATATTGATCTAATGCAGAAGGCTGAAGACTGAGGAGCAATGAAAGATCTATTTCTACAGATGGGGTGAAGAAAGGAAGCTAAAATTCCTTTTACCTATCCATTCCTCATTCAGTAAAGTACAAAACAAAATAGCTCACTCTATTTAAGTATATACATAAGGACTTCTTTAAACAGCCTTCATTGTGGACAGTTACCCGTGATACACATAACTTCAAGGATCCCTCCTTGAAGGCACATGACGCAGTCTACTCAATGTCAGCAGACTCCAAGGGTTCTAGTAAATCCTAATAACCCTAGTGTTATTATGTCTCTTTTCCTCCTGCTTTGTACTCATGGATCTTTTATTGCTCCTCAGTCTTCAGCCTTCTGCATTAGATCAGCAGGTAGAACCTCAAATATATGTATATATGTATATGTGTATGTATGTTTATTCTCCCGCTAAAATACTTTTAACTGAACATCGTCTACTGAAATATTATTGATCTACAAGAGATATGATCCTAGTATTTATTCATTCTACATCAGCCACCATGATCGTGGCTTGATCATACCAGTATCTCAACATCAGTTCCTACTGAGCAAACCCAAATAAAGTCCTGCATGCTCTCTTATAAATACAAATAGGCATTCAGCATACTAGCCTGCTGTACCTCTACACTTGAGATGGTCACCATAAGTGTATTTCCATTTTCATTGGCTACAGTGCTACTGTTTTTGTCATTCCCAGTGACACAACACAGGAATCCTTTCCTTACCCCAACTCTTCAGCTTTCCAAAGTAATCATTGGTATCTAAGACCCCAGTTCCCTTCCAGCCTATAAAATAGTACATTTGTTCATGATCTACCTTTTCCATAAAGGACTGGAGAGTATAAGCATATAACATGCAATGAATTTAGATATCCTGATTCACACGTAGAAAAAGGCTTGGTTGGAGCAGACAGTGTAAATATTATGATTAGATGCTCTTTATTTATGGTATTGCCATTGCTTGGTATAAACAGGATGTGTCAAGTTGGCAAAGTACATATAACCTCTGACACTTGCCATTCTTAAGAGATTTTTCCAAGTTTCCTTTTGGCAGTATTGACTACAGGTTCTTAAGGTAAGGATTAGGGAAGTCCCTCTTTGGAGGAAACCAGTGTCACTTTAGTTGATTGCAGTTAGTGGAAAGTAGCAGGGTCCCTAGAAATATCCAGTGTTGTAAGACAGTATAGCCCTTTCTACGTTCTAACGTGATTCATCCACTTATTCTCCTAGTGTGAGTTGAATCTGTAGTCTGAGTTCTCTTTCATCCACATTTGGTGGATAAAGTTGAGCTTATTAATACTATAAGCCTTTTTCTAGTCTCAGATTTCTTTTTCTCTTCTGTGTCTTAGTGTTCTGTGTCCAGCCTGTTGTATTTTAGTTGTTTTGAAAACTCATGTCCTGCTCCCTTCTTAAGTTAGGTATGTGTTTTTATTTAAGAGTGGCATTTTTTAAGAGTGGCATTTTATTTAAGAGTGGTTTGGTTTAGTTTTGAAAAACTTTTCTTTCAGCAGGAAGTAGCCCTGTAGTAAGAGAAACAAGGATGGAAGTTGGAAAAGGAAGTGACTTAAATATCTCAAAGACAGACGGTATGACTTTTCCTTAGCTTCTTTTTATTAATACACATTTTGTGGCTTGATAAATATTATGTATATAAGAGGAGTAATTTTGGGAATTTAGAAATAATTGTTATTTTTAAGTGTAGTTACTAATTTGTTAAATGATGCTATTTACAATAACTTCATAAGATTCCAAAATAGTTTAATTAAGACAAGCTAATGTATTATTGTGTATTGACATCCTTTCTCAAAACTGCTAGGTTAGAGGGCAGATATTTTTAAACATTTAACAGGATATTAGGTAGTTTAGCAACTTTTTTTCATAAATCAGTGCATTATTCCCCATTATTCTGGCATAGGTACATAAAATGTACCTATCTTTATACCGCCTGTTCTGTCATTTAGTGTTTTTCCTTAGATATACTCCTTTTTAGTTAAATTGATTTTAAAAAGAAAATATGTATATGTTGATTATAGCATAAAATTAATAGAAGTGGGAAAGAAAGCAAGCAGTGGTAAAAATTAAAGCAACTAAAATAAAGTTACCAAATTTTTTTTGAGTAAGTGCTGCTGCTGGTGTTCAACCTGAAGTCTGCTTTTTCTTTGTTGAGATAACCAGTGTTAACAAAGGTTTTAAAAGCATAGTGGCAACATATTGAACCTTTTTCTTTAATATTGTTTAGAATAAAATAAAAATAGAATATTTTCCTTACTATGTGATTCACTGTTATTTAATAAATAGAAGGGCTGTTAAAGCCACCATAAAAGAAATTCTTTCATCCTTAAGTTTCCTGGTTTATACATAAAATTTTTTGGGCAATGTAACCACTGAGGAACCTTCCAGGTTCTTTAATTGTGTGATTTTTTTTTTTAAGTGTATATTTTTTAAAAGCCACTTCCGCATGAATTTGATCCCCGCCTGCTGGGGAGGAGATCCACATGGCATGGCAGACCTCTCCTGACCCGCCTACTGCTCCCCTCAGCAGTATGCCTCGTTGAGCTGCCTGTTCTGCTCCCCACTCTATCCTTGGTTAATTCTCTCACCCTCTGCATCTCTGGCCTGTACCCCAGTTCTGTATCAATAAATAAATAAATCTTTAAAAAAAAAAAAGCAGCACCTATTGCTTTTTACATCAGTACAGGTCTAGTTAGTAAAATCTAATTAAAGGAAAAATTCACATACTTTGTCATTCTGCCTTATTCTTTGGATTAACCACCATTCTTTGGATTAAACACATGAGGGAAGTGTTTCATAGGGCAACTGGCCTGTTACTACATTGTATTTTTTAATGTAAAACATATATTAGGGAAATTATTTCCCTTTTGCAAAGAATTCTTAAAACGTGTTTTTAAGTAAAAGTTATATAATAAATTTATCTTTGAATCATTAAGAAAGGAAAAAGGAGAAATCCTTCAATCTTGGTTATTAGTATTTTCAACAAAAGTGAGATATATCAGAAATAACAATGAGTAATCTGTAATTTCAAAATGTATGTTTAATAAAATGACAAATTTTCTACTTTTTTTTTAAGTGTTTTTATGATATCCTTTTATTTTTTTTTAAAGATTTATTTATGCAGACAGAAATGGGGTGCAAGCCAGAGGTACAGGATGGTGAGAGACTTCACCAGAGACAGAGTGGGAAGCAGAGCTGGCAGACTGATGAAGTACACTGCCAAGGGAAGCAGTGTCTGGGTCAGGAGAGGCCTGCCACACCATGTGGATCACCTCCGGGGCTGGGGATCGAACTTATGTGGAAGCAATTGCAGCCAGCTGCAATGCTGTGGCCTTAACCTGTTGCACCACCAGGGAGGGCCCTGTATTTTGTGTTTTTTAAAGATAGATACAAGTTCTCCTTCTGGCTCTGGACCTAGTGTTCTCATGAGTAAAATGGAGATATTTCTTACGTTACTATATATTAGGAAAGTTAAGCCTCATAGTGTGTTTATTATAGGACAAAGAAAGCATTTCATGAATAGTAATAAGATGATAACTTTCCATTCTAGCTGGACCTAGATATATGAAACATTCTTATTTGAGATAGAGGTCATTTGGGGGAGGGAGGTTTGTATAGGAGGCATCTCATTATGTCAATCCTTCATCAGTAGGATTGCAAAAATTAAACAGTAGCAAAAATTAAAATGGCCAGATTAGGTACACTTCATTTCTCTACCTTTTTATCAGCCTCCACAGGTAACTGACATCTTTTAGCTTCCAATGTCAACTTTTTACAGGTAGGTTATTTTCAACATGCCTTGACTGCTGCAACTTTTCTTTTTTTCTAGGGTCATCACCAGTGTTATCACCAAGGAAGCCTTCTCACCCAGTCATGGATTTTTTCAGTTCAAATCTTTTAGGTGACTCTTCCTCACTCAGCTCTAATTCTAGTCCTGGAGATATCCATGAAGTCATTGTGAGCGATTTTCTTATTTCTGATGAATACCTTCAGAAGATGGAAAATGTGCTTGATATTTGGAGTTCAGGACTGAAGGTATTAAAAGTTATTTAGTAATAATTGTTTGATGTGTAGTATAACAGTTTTGCTCTTGATTCCACTGTTTATTCTTAATTGCTTTGAATTAAAGGAATTTTTTTAAAACCCAGGTCCCAGGTTCTCAAATCTGTGTTTATTGTTGAGTGTCCACACGAGTCACCTGGGAATTCTGTTAAAACCGTTGCTTCTTATTCAGTCCGTTGTGACCAGGACCCAAGATTATGCATTTTTTTATTAAAAATTGATATTCTGGGTTTTTCCCCTTAATCTATTTATTTTATGCATACAGAACTGGGGTACATGCCAGAGGTGCAGGGGCGGTGAGAGGATTCACCAGAGATAGTGGGGAGCAGAACAGGCAAATCACCCAAGAACACTGCTGAGGGGAGCAGTGGGCAGATCAGGAGAGGCCTGCCACGCCATGCGGCTTATCTCCAGGGCAACTGTGGCTGGCTTACAGTGCTGCGCTTTAACCTGGTACACCACCAGGGAGGGCCCAAGATTATGCAGTTTTTAACAATGCTCCCAGATACTACTACTGGTTCAGAAATCATACTTCAAGATAGCAGATCTTTTTTAAACCTTTTTTTTTTTTCCTTTAGGTAAATAGTTTACAAGACTATATACATTTCAGGTATACTGTTTCTAACCATAGCTACTGTATATTTCATGCTATACCCACTATAAAATGTCTTGTCACCATCTATCACCAAGCTGTTCTCTCCCCACTCTCCCTCTGGTGGCCATCATTTTGTTGTCATAGTCTAAGGGTGTGTTTTGTGTGTTTGCTTGCTTTTCCTTTTCTTTATATTCCATAAATGAGTGAAATCATACTAGTGGTTTTCTTATTCTTTCTGATGTATTGTGTATATATACCACATTTTCTGAATCTACCTAATCTTCTTATCAGGCACACGGGTTGTTTCCATAGCTTAGCTAAGTAGCAAGGTTTTAAAGCGTTTCCCTCAGTTCTGTTCCCAGGAATTTCTCAAAGATAATTTGAAAGACACAGCCATAGAGTGGCTGAGACACCTATTTCATCTTTACTCTATCATAGCTATGAATACTGGAAATGTCTCCTTTTATACAAAACATAAGATACAGCTTTAGCAACGTATTCATTTTAAAACCACTCTTAACACCTACCACAGTGTATAACCAATAAGTCTATAAAGACTGATTTTTGTTTTGTGTCTGTCCTCTAAATGACAAAGTATTACAGAAAATAAGTTTTTCTAAAACATATGGAGAAAATAGCTGAGTAGTCACATATTGAGAATCCTGTGGCATTAATATTTCTCTGTTATTTAGGACTTTAAATTCTAGAAATATTTTAGTATAGTCTTATTATTTTTTCTTCATGCAACAAGTTTAATACTTCTAAACGTGATACTATCTGTTGAAATCACCAACCATTTAAGTTATTCTGTATTGAGTTAGTCATATTGTTACCCAATTTTTTTAATAATATGATTATTGGTATTTTATTAGGCCAGTTAGCGGAGTGAAAAGGGGTCAGACTTAGCAATTTGTTTTAAGGTGGTTGTTATGGTAAATGACTTGATAAAGAAAGCATCAGAAATCATTCCCATGATTTCTACTATCCACCTCCCCATCTATCAAAATAACTTACCTTACCTGTGAGTCAGCCTAGGCAATATGTCTGCATTTCTTTATATGGACATTTAAGTACTCAAGTAAACAAAGAATCTGTTTAATAGTGAATGAGGGATGGAATTTTTTAAGATGACAAGATTACTTAGAAAAGTGAATTAAAAAAAACATGATACTGGGCCCTTGCTGGTGGCACAACAGTTTAAAGCACAACACTATGATGCTAGACACAGCCACTTAACGAGTTCCATCCCCGGCCAGTACAGTGACCCATATGGTTTGGCAAAACTCTCCTGACCCGTCCACTGCTCCCCTCAGCAGTGTATTTCATAAGTTCTGCACCACACTCTGTCTCTGGTGAATCCTCTAACTGTCCCTGCACTTATGGCCTACATCCCAGTTCTGTATGCATAAATAAATCTTAAAAAAAAAAAAATTTAAAACATGATTCTTATAAACATTTTTATTCATATATTTTGGCTTTTTCCACTGATATGTTAACTTCTGATTTTTTAAATGTTTCTTAATTTCAGTGTAATTTTAAGAATAATTAAGGAACAGATGAAACTTGTAGTTTGTTAATTGTTTTTCAGACAAACATCATATCTGAACTAAGTAAATGGAGACTGAATTTTATTGACTGGCACCGAATGGAAATGAAAAAAGAAAAAGAAAAACACGCATCAGATTTAAAACAGTTGTGTGGTCAAATCCACAGCTTGAAGGAACTACAAAAAGCCTATGAAATCTCCATTGGGAGAAAAGATGAGGTCTTTTTATGTCATACCTTTTTAACTGAAATCCAGTTAATGTCTTGATAGGTAATGATCTTGCTTTACAGTACATACAAGATAAAAAGGAAGAAGCGCTTTGGAAACTGGTAGAAAAATAGATGATTAGAGTAACATTTATTCTTCCTGTTAAATATGGAGGGTCCTATCATTTCACTGTTGCTGTCAGCCTCCATGTTCCTTAAGTTTTAAGAATGCATGCTAAATGTGGGAATACTAATTTTTTCTTCATAATCTTTTACTGCTAACTTAAGAAAACATCAGGAGACCAGAATTATCCATGTCTTAAGTATTCTTTTAAAAGTCATTTTAAGTATTTTATTTCCTATCTGTAATGTCTCCCTTTGTTGATGAAATCTTTATTTTACTACTAAAAAAGAGAACCTTTTATTTCTTTTTCTATTTGCCTCTTTAGAACTGCAAAATAAGGTTCATCTTTGTGTTGATTTTGTGTGTACCAACAGCATCTTAACCAAAGCAGATGAGTAACAAATGTGTGTCTCCTTCAGGAGGTTGGTGGCTTCAGAGAAGTGGGACTCTCAGCAGACACCTCAGCTTCTTGACTGCAAATGCTTTAGGAACTCAATTAAGCTTTCAAATGCTTTAGGAACTCAATTAAGATTATGGGTTTTGTTTTGTTTTTAAATCTATCTTTCTGTTGGTACAAAATTGGACATTTGACACAGCTCACTTTTTGAAATACTAGCTACCAGTGCCATTTCACTTTTACCCTCTAAACTCTCTCCTGAGGTAACCTCACAATAATTGGATTAATTGCTGTTTGCAGGTCATTTCTAGCTTGTCTCATGCCATAAGCAAGCAAAAGGAAAGGATAGAATTGATGAGAACATTCTTCCACTGGCGAATTGGCCATGTTAAATCCAGGCAGGACGTAAGTGTAAAAAAGATGACTAACAGATATTAAGACTTCTGAACTCAAAAGCATTTGGGATCACATACTGGAATTCTTGTTAGAGTCAAAGAAAGATTTGTTCCTGATAAGTCAAAAGTAGTTTATACTTTAATGTTGCTCTAAAGAAATTCATTTTGTATAGTTTAGGAAAAAATACCTCTTAGATTTTATAGACATACTGATGCATCACTTCCTACTTCATAGTAGGCTTATAATGATTGTATTTAAATTACAAACGACGCTGGTAGTGGAAGCTCTTTAATAAATTTAATCTCAGATACGATTCCGAGGATAAAATTTATAATCTTTAACATATCATATTTCCCTATATTGCTTCTGTCTCTAAAATACCTGATTATATTCTCTTCATAAACAGACAATACCATATTTGCTCATTATAAAATTGCATCAGTTTGTTGTGTAGACTTGCCTTAGAATGTGAATCAAAGAAAGCCATATCTGTATAACTTCTTAAAAATTATCCTTAGGTTTTGTATGATTTAACTTGAACATCTTTTATTTTAATTAAGAAATCAGTATATCAAAGTAAATATAAACTCAGACTAAATTTCTGTATCAAAAGTGAAAGAGTGTGTGTATATACCCCCCAAGAGTTAAGCTACTGAGAGTCATGAGTATAGAGAATGGGGTTTTTTTCTTGGTATTTTATGTGGTACACATGTGAGCCATGGAGTAATCTCTGTATTTAGTTTCAAGATACTGGTATTTAAGGAAAAGGATATTGCCTGCTATCATGGAATAAGATCTCTCCTTTAAAAATTCTTTTTAGTGCTTTCATTTTTTAATCCCAGTAGATAAAATCTTCATCAATCATATTGAGCTACTTAAAAATAAATATACCATATTTTTGAAGTTATGATACCATATAATGAGAATGTTATGTTTAAATGTTAGCTAAAATAAGTGAAGCAGTGTTGAATATCTTCAAATTTTTAAAAAATTGGAAGTTAGAACTACCACTTGAAAAGTATTGAAATTCATTAATAAAAGAAAAATCACATTAAGTTCCCATTGAGTCAGTTTGTCCCCATAACTTGGGTAAGACCTTCGGCTCTGGAGGAGGCAAGCTGGGGTTATTCCCCTTCCTACTTGTGTGACTCAGGCTGGGCACCAAACCTCTATGAGCCTGTTCTCCTATCTGCAGGTCTGAATAATATGATTACACAGGATAAATAATAATAACAATAATGTAGACGACTGCTTATCAGAATATTATTTTCAAATAGTATTACTACCAATATACTTACCAGTCCATTGGTTTTTGAGGCTGTGTATTCTTTTCTCTTAGGTTTATGAAAGTAAACTAGCTGAACAATACTTCCAAAGAGCTTTACTAAAGAAAGCCTGGAAAGGCTGGCGTTCTGTAGTAGAAAGGAAATGGAAAGATGTAATTGAACGTGCTTGTCAAGCAAGAGCTGAAGAAGTTTGTGTCCAGATTTCCAATGATTATGAAAACAAAGTTGCTATGGTAAACTTTTTAATTGTCACCTTCTTGTAATAAAATAGTGTTAGTTACTGTTAGTTTATAGTTACAGTAGCCTATTTCTCCATTTTTCTTTAATGCAATGTAGGTTCAGGTGAGACACTATTGGGAAATAACAGTACTAGTAAGACTTAACATATTTATTTTAAATCACGATAATACTGACCTGTAAACTTGTACTGAACCTCTTGTATGTACTTTTCTTTTGGTAATACAATCACCCACATTCCTTATTTCTCTTAGAAAGCATACTTCCTTATGCTGCTGCTGCTTTTAGACTTTAGCTAAAAATAAAGCACAAAACCAAAAATATTTAATTTAAAGAAACTATGTTCTTATAAAAGTGATATAAAGCAGTTGTACAGAAACTAAAATTATTTTCCCATTGATTTTTAATAATAATGTTAACATTGTTTCCATGGGAAAGTATTCAAGGCCCATAATGAAATGCACACCATACTGAGAAGAATTCAGTGAGTCTTTTGAAACCAATTATTAAAAGGAAAAAAATTTTTCATCATTATAGCAGTTTTTTTTTAACTCACCTTTAATAAAAGCTATCTGAACACACCTTCAGATATATGTGGCTTTGCTGAAGTGTCACATTAAATACCACCCCTTTATATTACATCTCTTTTCTGCCCTTCCAACTTGATTATAACACAAAGTACTTAATGTTAAAAATAAGTTCTCATATATTTTTCAGCATTTCAAAATACATGCAGAAATGCAGTACCTTTAGATTTGGTCTATGAAAAGTGTATTGTACTTTGTCACTTTCCACTTTAATTCTATAGGTAGCATTTAATTTGTAAACATTCTGTGAATGCTACAAGCATTTAGCTATTTGAATTTTTTAAATTTATTTTTGCATAGAAGAACTGGGATGTGGGCCAGACAGGTGGGTCGGGAAGGTAAGTTGGTGATGGAAGGTAAGAGAATTCACCAGAGACAGAGTGAGAGCAGGACAGCTGGATCAACTGAAATACACTGCTCAGGGGAGCAGTCGGTGAAGCTGACCATGTGGGTCAGCTCCCTGGCCAGGGATTGGACTCAGGCAGCAACAGTGATAGTGCTGAGACTTAACCCCTACGCCACCAGGGAGCCCCTAGTGTTTTGTTTTTTAAAAAAGAAAGAACAATAAAAATTAGTCTTCTTTCTGTCTCAAAACCTATTTAATCTCTATTGAAACTCTTATTTTAGTTATCCGGTGCTTTAGAAAATGCAAAAGCTGAGATCCAAAGAATGCAGCATGAAAAAGAGCTCTTTGAAGATTCCATGAAGAAAGCTTTCATGAGGGGTGTATGTGCATTAAATCTTGAAGCTATGACAATATTTCAAAACAAAGTTGATGCAGGTTACTATTTTTCCTAAGTTTCTTGCCTTCTTTCAAAAAGAATTTGAGATTTTAGTGATTGTGTGGTCCACAGTCTACAGTACTAATTTTGTGCGATAGCTATGTCTTATACAGGCTCTGGTGTTTTATTTCCATGCTGCCACACACAATTTTAAATCTGCCATGTAATTTGTTCAGTCATCTAAGAACTGATTAAGTAAGCTGTTAGTTAACCTAAGTATTTCAGCTCAATGTTAAAATAATAAATCTTTGAATAGATAACATAATTTTAAGGTTTTTTTAAACTAGTAAATATATTGTTGGTAGTAATGATTATTGTAATAATTAAATACAAAAAGTCTTTTTGCTTATTCCTAAGTAGCCAAGTTCCTTGAGTATTTTATTTTGTTGCTTAAATATTCCTTATCAGTCATACATGTCCTGTTTAAAAAAATTATTGTCTTCCAGTTAAGAGAGCCTCCACTAAAACTCATTTCAACACATACAAATATAGGCCTATCTATAGAAGTCAAGTAATTTTATTTTAAGAAAAGTCCGTGTGTGGCTGAAAGCTGAATTTTGTCAGCACAGCTTGAAACAGCACAGGACTAGCATCTTTTGCACCAAACAGTGAGGCCTGTTTTCCTGGTGGGTTTTAATTTTTTCTCTGAACAAAGATAATATGAACTACCCTTACTTGCTTCATAAGGAGTTCTTATGCAGTAAAATATTGAAAGCTCTTTAACATGTAAGATGAAAATGCCGATGTAGCTGTGTGATCTTTAGTCAAATCAGCTTCTTAAAGTTCATATAAATATATGAACATTGTTGCAGTATTCCCCATTAGTAAACCCTATTTGAGACTTTCAGTTTATTTATCAATGGATAATTTCATTTTATAAATTAACATGACTTCTATACAGTGAATAAATTCTGTGTACTTGTCATGCTCTCACCTTAAAGAATCAAAAATACTGGATAAACCATGCAATTTTTGAGTTAAGGCAAATCATGTTCTTCCTGAAGCAGTCATGGTGTGTGGCCTACATTCAAATTAGAAATTAGGATCATAAAATCCTTAAGGCTGACTGGTTTATCTTGCTAATACCCAAATGAGTACTCTAGTAAATGGTCTTTTAATTGAGTATCAACAATGAAAATAAACTCACCACCTCCGATGATAGAATTATCATTCAGTTGTAATTACTAGCAAATTGTATATATTAAACTGGAGGATTTAATTATCAAATTTTAGTAGGTACTTTATTTTAAATAAAGTATAAATTATTATCATTAGAACTACCTACATTCAATTACAGAAAACTTGTGCTGGAGACACAGTGTTTAAATTGAAATACAGCTATGTCTCCTGTGGGCAGATACCCATAACAGGTTATGAAGAACATGTATTCTGATAATACACAATGTGATTTGTTTTGCTTCTGCTACTTCTAAGTCTACTATTATCTGCAGCTACTGCCAGGTGCTGGGAACCTAGCTATTTTGCACAGCCTTGTGCTTTGTCCTTTTGAGGATTTTGTTTCAAAGCAAAAGCAGTATTTTATATTGAATTTCTGTCATCGGTGGATTTTAAAAGACCTATGCATTGCAAGCCTCATTAAACTTTGTTTGAGATAACTTACTGTATTTTACATAAAAGATAGTCTAGGAAAAAGACTTAAACAGAAGTCTACATTTCTGGATTAAAAGAGGACAACACAGAAAAACCATGTAAACATAGGGATATGTGCTGTGCTCTGTTCAGATATTCTGAACAATATTCAGACTGAATTTTCAAACCTTCACTGCAGTGTTTGGTACCACATATACTATATAATCTACTACATATGTCAATATACTCCATATACTATAAAATTTCTTATATAGAAACTTTAGCCAAATTCTAAGACTGGGGGGGCCATCTAAATTTTGAAGAAACCTAGCTTCTGGACACTTAATATTATTCACTCCTTTGTTCTCAGATTCAGGTTCAGTTTTGAGAGAACATTACTGTATGTGTGTCACTAAAATTGGTAAGAGTGCAAATGTGCTCTTCATTCATGACTTATATAATCTGTCTGCAAAACTTAATTTCTTTGCAGTGTCAAAAGTAAAGATTTCCATGTTATTTATTGATATTGTTTGCTGAAAATGAAGAATAAAAATGTACTGTTTTAGTTAGGATAGGAGCAATATATTGAATAAGAAGGTATCAAAATAATTTCTAAGGTCTAAATGCAGGCCCATTTGTCAGAATAATTACAAGAAATAACTACAAAATATAAATCCTTGGGCTCAGGGTGATGATATAATTGTAATGATTGTGATGACAATGCATGTTACTCAGCTACATAGCTGAGTATATAATTAATTTTTATCTTTTTCATAAAAGTAAATCATTCACTAGCTTAATATATTGAAGGAAGTGCTTTGAAATCTTTAGTAGTTAGTACTGACCTTAACCAGTTAATACTGACAATTAACTGAACTTATTCAATAGGTGACAAATTTCTACATTTCTTTTATGATCAAATTTTACTGTTAAATATTTTCATTGTTGGGTAAATAAAACTAACCTTAGAGGAATTTTAATGGAATTAATTTGTGATTTATAGGTACAGACTTCACAAATGTTAAAAAGGAAGACCATGGTCCTGGGGTTCAAGGAAAAGAACATCCTGCTCATTTGGACCCTTCGGCTGCTCCACTGCCCTCATCTGGGGCTCGGCCACTGACCCCCCCGGCAGCAGCCATGGGAGTCACCAGCGGTGCTGCCTTCTCTGCCGCTTCCCTGACTTCTGCTGGGGTTGCTTCTACTTCCTCTGCTCACATTTCCTTTCCTCCTGGTACTGGATCTACAGCTGTTGCTGCACCAGAAGAAATGGTTAGTACAGGTTTGCAGGAACCCACCTTGGGGAAAGGATTCCAGACTTGCTATATATTGGATATTCTGAAATCAGAACCTTTCCTATGGATAAAAATTTTATGTGGCCTTTAGGTCAAATATTAAATATTACAAAATATTAGAAAATAAAAGTGGCTAAAATATTAATTTGTAATAAAAATAATACCTGGAACTTCTGCAATAATAGCCATAATTGAAGAGAGAACTTTTTTATTTTATATTTTTCAGGAGCTAGTCAGGAAACTAAATTTAATTTGAGAATTTTTTTAATTTTGAAAGAAATTGTATTTTTAAGATCTAGTGTCTTAATGACTCTTTTGTATATTTTCATCTGCAGCTTTCTCTTTTCCTGGAGGCAGTCACTACTCTGTAGTGACTCCATCTTGATGTGATTAGATTTTTTTAATTTGATGCATTACTGGAATAGAGATATGAATCTTTTTCCCTAGAACCACTAAGCTGCTATTTAGATACAACATAGAGGGATGGCGTGTTTATGGAAGAACTTGCCTAAAGTAGAATAACCAAACTATTAATATAGTCTTAGTTACAGAAAAGCACATTGTGTTTCTGAGCCCTCTAGTTGTTGTTGTCATACCTGCATTCCTCCAGCAGTTTTTCTGAGAGAAGGGAGTAGGGATACAAGTCAAGCTTATACTGACCTCTGCAGGTTTTTGTTTTAAAATACTATACTTGGTGCTCACATAAAGGCCTGTATAGTTTAAAAATTCTTGAGATAACTCTGATTTCCTTGCCCCCCTTCATCCCCTACCTTGGCCATCTACATGAGTAAGGAAGAAAGTTGGCAAATAGGTTCCCAGTGTTCCTCTGGCAGGCCATCTGAGGATAAGCAGATGGTATCTGATCATTCTAGACAGCCCTCTCTAGCTGAGGGAAGCATTGACAATGCCAGTCAAACAATTGGGTATCTCTAGTATCCCAGAGAACTTGAATTTCTTAGTTGGAGGGTGGGGGGCATGTTGAGGTTTGTTATTTTATTATATTTATTTATTATGCTTATTTATAACTTTATTATGTTGCTCTTTATTCACAGTTTTAAATATATATATATCTGTTTGGAGAAATCTGAATGTGTGAGGGAGTTTTTATTTAGAAATAAGATACTAAAATTCAATCCTGACATATGCTCAGCTGTGTTTATTTTTCATGATTACACTTTTTAAGTGTGATCCTACAGATGATTTCATATAAATAAGCATACTGAGTATTCATTTAAATTTGTCTGTTATTCTTATTATTACATTCAGATAACACAGAGCTAGTTTTTTTAATTCCTTTCCTAAAATGTGGCTGTACTATTTGTATATCTGCACTTACTATTATAAAAAAAAAAAAAGCCTTAGGATTCATGGGAAGAACTCAATGAATGAGTTTGCTTATCTCCCTTTTTGTTACTAACTTTTTGAGACAATTTAATCTGGGCTAATAATGTTTTTGAAATCTGAGAAACACAATATTGTATGGACATCCCTTCTCCCCCAACCCCTGCAGCTACATCTTACTCACTACAACTTATCTAAAGTGAGACAATCGTTGGGAGTAGGAAAAGGAAGAAGAGAGAATTGAGATGCAAAGCCAGTTATTTTTCTCTTCATTTTAACCCTAGCGGCTTCCTATGAATAGTCAAAATCATTTTCAATCTTCCCCAATATTTTCATTAGCTAGAAGGAAGAGAGCTGGGAAACAAATAAGTGAAGAGGATTACCATTCTCACAAAATAGTAATAGCTTCATATGTAAATTAATTTCCATCTATAGACATCCGCAGTTTGTTAACCAAAATATCAGAATTTTATGGCAGAAAACATTTTTTTTAAATCAGGCAATTCTACAGGCAAGAATATTTGCAGCTCACAAGGTTGAGCAGTAGATGGCACTTCACTCTTTTTAACTCTAATTGGAATAATTGCAGCATCTTAGTTGAATTTTTAAGCGATTTAATACAAGTTTCTGTGCCCACTTTACTTTTTATCTGAATAGAAAGTGACAGGGTATCAGCAGGCAGTTGGTGCTACTTTCCCCATTTTATAAATAGGAATTGAATGCTTACAATAACTTTACTGTGGATACAGTTAACAGAATTGGAAGTCAGACTGACAGCCTGGCTTCAGAACCTGTATGTACTCTGAACTAATAATCTGTATATTCTTGCTAAATACTAATCCACAAATACTGCACATTTTGTAACAATCCCTATGATTTTGTTTATTTTCACATGGCTTAAAATACTGCAATTTCCACTTTTAAGTCAGCTAGACTAAAAGTGATTCTATTGAAACCCAGCATGATTGCCACCAGTAAGTTGTCATTTCATCGAAAAAGCTGAATCAGAGAATGATTTTTATATACACATACTTGTAATATGTTATTTTATCCTAAAACATAAATTTATATTAATTTGCCAATTTTTAATGTGGATCCAAATTAAGAGTTAGGTCCAGAAATTGTAATTATGCATTTTTTTAATGTAAGCCATACAAATATTAGATTGCATTTTCTATGATTTCCAGTTTTAATTTAGCAAAATAAAGCAACAACCTGAATGGAATCCACAGAGTAATCTGATTATATCTATGTACTTTTACTTTCACCTGATTTAGCAGCCTTTTTTTTCCCTAATAGCTTATTTTTCTTAAAATGTCCCTATTTATTTTCAAAACAACTCTTTTTAACAGTTACACAATTCTTAATTCAATTACCTACCAAGTAGAAATTTATAAAAGTACATGACATTTGAAAATAAGTAACCTGATAAATATACAAATCATTTTTAAAAACTGAATTTTGTTCAAATACATGTGTAGAGGTTTCTTTTAGAAGTTTTTTACTTTATTGATGTATATATTTTCATTCCGTTGAAGGCATTCTAAAGCAATTTCTCAGCTTCATTGAGTTAAGGTTATCATCTATGGGCAGTTTTCTCAGTTTTAATTTCTCCTTGTCTCGACTTCTTCAGTTTTTCATTCCTCCCTTCACCCTCCAGTGAAAGAACAGCTATTATGCTAAGAATGTGCATACCTCTTAACTGTGATTGGATAGAAATCAGTTATAAGCCCAATTGTATTTCAGTTTTCAATTTCTTACAAAGAATTTTCTTGGTAGTATTTGATTTCATATTTTAAAAATAGCTTTTAGGAATCTTAAGTTTGTAAAATTTTTTCTGTAATTTTTTTAAGATTTATTTATTTATACATACAGAACTGGGGTGCAGGCCAGAGGTGTGGGGGATAATAGGATTCACCAGAGACTAAGGGGGGTACAGAACGGGCAGATTACCTTATTTTAATAAGAAATAGGGAAACACAGGCATCAGCATGAAGTTAGTCTACACAAGCATATTTGTAAATATCTTAGAATCTGAGTTTTGGTTTCTCAAAACACTTAACTTTCATAAAAGTTTAAACATCCCAATAGATTCTACAAGAATATTCAAAACAGTCCTTTGAATCCCTCTTTAAATTCTTTTGTTTTCTCTAATTAATCTTTTTTTCTCCTAAATGGTATTAGCATATCACTTACATTCTACATATATTGATTTCAAACATTATCTAGTGACTTATTATTGTATGTGAAGGATTTAGCCTTCAAACATATTTTTTGCAATATAGTCTACATAACTAACACAGAAGGGAATCCTGTTATAAAAATGTATTTTATACACTGATTCAAAAGACATCTGCACCTCCATGTTTATTGCTGCTTTATTCACAATAGGAAAGACATGGAAACAGCCCAAATGCCCAAAATGGATGAGTGGATTAAAAAGATGTGGTACATATACACAATGGAATATTACTCAGCAACCAAAAAAAAAGAAACATATATCTTTTGCAGCAACATGGATGGAGCTGGAAAAGATCATGCTTAGTGAAATAAGCCAGAAAGGAAAGGAAAAATACCGGATGGTTTCTCTCATAGCAGGAATATAATGGAACAGGAGAGAAAATGATAATGATGAACAGCTATATACAGAGACATTTTGTGGGGGTGGAGTGGGGAGTGGGATCAAAAACAGTGGGAGGAGGGAAATGCACTGGACTATGGTAATGGCACATGAGTGATTTGGTGATGGGAAGCCCAAGGGGATTGCAACTGAGATGGAAAAATGCACAAAAATATGTAAAAATAAACTATTATAAAATTTTTTAATGTGTTTTATATAATATGGTAAGAACTGAGACATTTAGATATAAATTAGTACAAAAACCTTTCATTTGAAGTAAAAGGTTACTTTATGCACAAAAAAATACATGTTTGAACAAAGTGATTAGAAAAAACAACCCAAAAGCAGGGTTATTATTGATAGTATTGATTCATAAGGATCAAGAGCTCATAAAAATAGGCAAATAGTTACTGAGGGCTAAACAGTGGGAGAAGGGAGATAGACATGACTTTAAGGGTAGCATGATGGTAAGCTTTGTGGCGACAGAGTAGTTCTGTATTTTGCTTGCAGTGACAGTTAAAGAAATCTGCACATGTAGTGAAGTAACAGATGTGTGCCCATGTCCACTTCTTGGTTTTCATCTTTTGCTATAATAACATGAGATGTAATCATTGCAGGCAACTGAGAACACACAGGGCTGACCTACCTTTGCATTTATAATTATTTCAAAATAAATGATTTTGAAAGTTGCTAAGATCCCATATATAATGAAGGTATTTTGACTTTATATTTGGCTTTATAGTCTCATTGTTTTAAGATTTAATTTTTCCTTGTGAACACTGAATATACAGTTATTTTAAGTGCCTGTGTATTTTCTTCCTAAGTTATAGAAGGTACCAGTGATTTTGCCAGGGATTTTCTACCAATTAGATATTACTTTGTATTTTCAGTATGTGCCCAGAGTTGTGACATCTGCACAACAGAAAGCTGGAAAAACAATTACAGCTCGGATCACAGGGAGATGTGATTTTGCTACAAAAAATAGAATTGGTAGCAGTTTAGCTATAATGGGAGTTTCTCCTCCCATGAGCTCGGTTGTTGTGGAAAAACATCATCCAGTGACAGTGGTGAGTACACATTTGATGGCCTGTGATCAAAATTTCTTTTTCTTGAGAATATATGGCTACAACACTTAATTGACATGTTGAATAGATTAAAATTCATAATGGCTGATACTTATTCTGCCTTCTACTCTTGCAGTCTTCTATATACTTAGAAATTGTCAAACCTGCTCTAAATTTACATTTCCTAGGGAATTAATTTCAGAAACATTGCTTCTTCCCAGTAGTATAGTTTTCAGATATAAAAAGTAATTCACTGTGCTAGTGGCTACAAGGGTAAAAGGCATCTAGCAGATACTTGATTACAAGAAACACATCCCTGCTTTCATAATTTTAACTTTTGTTTCATTTCCATGTCTTATGCCTTTTCCTTTTTTTCCCAATAAAATTGTGAGCGTATTTCTAGTTGGAAGGGGAATTCAATTGCAGTGATTGTCTGTGATATAAAAGAGATTGCATGAAATTTATCCAAAAATAAACAAAAGACTTCTTGTGTAAATGGAGCAATAAGAGTAGTTAGCTCCTAGCATTATTTCCAGTATTCAGGTTTAAATAAGATAATGTGAAAATTAAATGAGATGTATAGATATATCTTACAAATTATAAAACCTTAAGCAAATTTTAACTTAATAAAATTATTACAGAAGAGTACATGGTATGTCACTATTACTTCTTACAAAATTTAATTTTGAAAAGTTACAAGAACACTTCCTTAAAGTGAAACAGGGATATAGGCCAAAGGGGGTTTGGGAGTGAGGATTCACCAGAGACAGAGTGGGGAGCAGAACAAGCAGATCTACCAAAATACACTGTTGAGGGGAACAGTGGGCAGGCCAGGAAAGGTCTGTGCCATGTGGGTTTGCTCCCTGGCCTGGGATTGAACTCAGGCCATAGATTGAGATGGTAGTGCCGAGATTTAACCCCTCAGCAACCAGGGAGACCCAGGATTTTCTTAACTGGTTTTCAGAAATACTATAATTAATACTCACAAAGCAGTCTATCAAATACATCTTATATATCTCATATGGCACATAGAGAACTCTTACATCTCAATATCATATATAAACCATTTTCATATAAGAATACCTTCTTATAATAGCATTCTGTCTACGTGTTTAAAACAACTGTCATCACGTCTTTAACATTTAAATGGTTTAAATCTGGGCATAGAATTCAAGGATGAGTGGTATAGTCACAGTAAACATTCTGAAGCATTTTTCTCAACCAGCTCTAGCTCACCAGAACACAGAGGCCACTTCCCCTCTCATAAGCAGTGTGTAATTTCCTGTTTTTGAACCCTTGACACATCTGGAGACCTAAAGGGAAAGTTCATGTGACACATGGAAGATGATTTCATATTCGGAATTATTTGGTTAATTCGGAACTCATTTGGTTAATTGAGAAATGTAATGTGCATTAACTTTTTAAACATTTTATGAGCTGTTTATCTCCTTTGTGTGATCTTTATTATAAGGTAATAACATTTACATAGCAATCCAACATTTTCCTCCTGATGTATAATATCTTTTAATTCTGTGTATGGTTTCTTCTTTTTTTTTTTTAATGAATGAAATGCCATAGTTTTACATCCTTATTAATCGCTGACAGGATTTCTCCCCTTAGATGTGGTCATCATAGCTCCCCCACCACCAAAGCCCCCATAGTCCTCTGCCTCTATGAACAAGGATTAATTTTAAAAGAAAATGCCCTCTATATGAATTTAATATTAGATAACCTTCCTGTCTACTTAGTATGACAGTGTATTAGCAAAAAGATAATATAGAATGGCTTTAAATCCTTTTCATCTGGACACTAGGTGTTTGCTAGATGATTAAATCAAGGAAGCTGGGTTGATTATTTACATTTAGCCTCAGGTACAGTACAGGGCAGTGAAATAGAAGACTAAGAATAGAGGAAGCAACTACAGATAGACACAGAGGAAGGAGTGTTATCTTTGGCTTCATAAGTTAACAAAGTCTGAAGGTCCTTAGAGTACTTCTCTAATGTGTTTTGATATATGAGGTTAATTATAAAAAATGAAAATGAGCTCGTTTTTATCAGCACATTGGTATAAAGAAAGAAGAGACTGAGATGAGGCACAAAGAGAGAATGTTTACTATGACTTAGACAATCTTTATTTTTGTGCTAATGATAGGAATTCATATTTACAGAAATAAAGGAACTTAAGACTTAAAACAGGTGTGCTCTGATTTTTCTCTCAAACTCTGCTTATCCATTCTGTGCTGTGCTTCTTCAGTAACTGACCATGAATTAGATAGCAATAAACTGCCTCCATTATTACCTAATTTGGATTATGTGGCAGACATACTGACACTATGTCAATCTTCTGTGCTATCTTTCATTTTATCCCAGCAATGAGGTCTAGAATTACCAGGAACTGTACTTAAAGATAAACCAATAATCAGGTTTCTGACACTTTAGCCCCACCTGCTGGGTAGTTTCTTGTTCCTGGGGCTTCTTCATTCTCTGACATACTTCATAAACCGTAATGTCAGTGATGGTGTGAATTATTTCCAGTTTTCTCTTGCCCATCTTCCCCAAGGATTAAATAGCTCCTCTAACATGGTCAGATTAGGTAGTTAACACCACAATTTCATACTACTTGCAAGAATCCCATTTTTAATGGTTATTTGTAGTTATTTATGTACAAAGAAACATTTATATAAAATGCCTAAAGTATTTCCTACTTTAAAGTAGAATCTGACATGAGACCTTTGTTTTAAGAGGTTTTATTCACTTTTCAAAGCAAAAGCTATATATCATAGTTTTTGAAATACACAGTGTGTTTTTGTCAAATATATATAATTTAACTTTATACATTGTAAAGATGACCCTGTAGGAATCTAGTGTACTAGTTAGTGATGTGGACTGAGAACTTAACCTGGATAATAAATCCCACTATTGCTTACTAAGAAACTGTATTTGGTATAATATAGGAAAGCTTATACATCTTACATAGCATGTACATATGCATGTCATGTATACTCATATATATTATGTATCTTTACATATTACATGTATAGATGAAGTCAGATGTGCACTAACTTTAATGCATGAGTGCTCATGTCCAGGATAATTCCTGAGCTCTGAGATGGCATGTGTATCCTCCCCTCACTGTGTGTCCTTAGCATCTGGTTATTTCCCTGTATATAAAGTCGTAATCCACTTAAGGGAATGCCAGGCCTCTGGGAAGGACACTCTTGTGTGACCATAGAGGATTCACTCAGTTCTTAGGTGAAATGTGAGGGATGTGCTTTACTCTGTTTTGAAGTAATGATCAGCCTGGACTCCTCAGGGCTTTCCATGTGGTCCTTGGGATTGGACTGTATGTTGTAAAAGTCAGATACAGGGAGGAGGAAGATAGATGGAATGAGGGGAGATCCTGTGGTGACCCTTATTCCAAACACCACAAAGGCCCTTTCTAAATGTCTGTAAACATCATAAGATTCCACTTAAGTCCTCTTTAAGGAGTGACTCCCCCGGTTTTTTTGTGATGCTCTGGAAGCAGCTGCTCTATACAGTTTGTGGGTGTTGAGTCCATCCGTCTGAGTTGGGCTCCTTATGGAAAAGAATTCCATATTTTGAAAAGGTGCTTTCCCCATCAATCCCCCAATCATTACTTGTATCTACGGAATATTTAACAAATGTCTGTTATATTATAGATGATGAAATTATATTTAAGACATGTAATTTTATGGAATATAAAGACAGACCTTTATTTTTTCAGCAAACCATTCCTCAAGCTACTGCAGCAAAATATCCCCGGACCATTCATCCTGAAAGTGGTGTCTCAACTTCCAGATCTCTTGGAACCAGATCAACTCACACCCCATCTCTCACAAGCTTTCATTCCATAAAAGTGGTTGACTAAAGCAAGTATGTTCATAGAAGTGTTTTACAAAGTACTAGAAGTCTTTAATTCTTAGAACATCATGGATCCATCATGTTCACCTTCACAAAATTACAAGAGACTTTTTCAAACCATACCATCCTTTGTAACTATATGTAGAATTATTTTAATGTTATTTTTTATTTAAGCAATTAAGTAAAACTTTTTTAAATAAATAAAAAAACTGGACTTAATTTTTAATATATTCTGCCCACCATGGTTATATCATCAAAGTATATAAATCCTACTTTCTCTACATTACTTCACAACGGCTAAATAATTTCCAGTGCTACTGAGTAAAATTTGAGAGTTTAACATTAAAAATTACCAAAACCAATAGAAAAAAGGTGTTTTTATTTTTGGGTTGAAATGATAAAGACCAAGAGTAGTAGTAGTTTTATCACAGAGTAACTTTAGGGTACTTGTGTTCATTTTTCCAGAACTTGAATAATTAAAAATAGGAGAAATGACAATACCTATGACTATTCTTTAATATTAATAGGCAATAGTATTCTCCTCATACAAAAACAGGGTTGTAGAAACATCAAAAAAAAATGTCCTGTTGGAATGATTGTTTTTCTGCTGTCCTTTCTTGCATTTCATGAAACACCACAGCATTGAATCTGCACTATGCTCTCTAAACACCTGAACTTTGTCCTATGGTGTCCTGGGCCTGGACAAACCTTGCTGGCCTGGGCAGAGATTTCTTAATGGCTAGCCAATAGGAAGAAACCATCTGGGTAAAACTGATTTTGGAGAAAAAGACCAGACTTCTAATGTTCTTATGTTGGCTGGATATCTATATTGGGCCAGATACACCATTTAAATGAATCTCAGGAGCCTCATCACAGAGTATTTATGGTTACATAAAAACAGTTCTGAAGAATCTGTCTAGGACATTAATTTCCACATCTTTAACAGAAATGGATGAACTTAACCTGCAGCCTCTTCCAGCTTGCTCACAATCTAGCTCTGTGCTCTAAATTGTTAGAAACAGGGGCCTCCCTGGTGGTTCAGGGACTAAAATCTCAGCACTATCAACAAGGGTTTGATCCCGGGCAAGGAGCTGACCCACATGGTGCAGCAGACCTCTCCTGTCTTTCCCGCTATTCCCCTCATCAGTGTATTTCAGCACATCTGCCTGTTCTGCTCCCCACTCTGTCTCTGGTGAATCCTCTCACCCCCTACTCCCACTCCTCTGGCCTACATCCCAGTGCTTGTATACATAAATAAATAAAAAATCTTTTTTTATATATATAAATAATTAGAAATAATTTCTTACTACCTCACATTGTTAACATCAAAAAATAAAGGTGAAATAGACAAATACCCCATTTTCTAATGGGCGCACCAAGGATTTTCTGAATTATGGAAATATCTGTGTCTTAGAGAGTATTAGATGCTGCTTATGTAACCTTTATTCTGGGTTCTGGCCCATCTACCACTGTGGCACACAGCTACTCATCAGTTTCAACAAGCACAAGCCAGCACCTCATGTCATGCATACCCAAACCACAAGCTTCTCCCCAGCCCTTCCCTATCCACCCCCAATGAATTCACAGGAACCAAGCAGACTCTACCTGGAACACATTTCATACTCAGCTTAAGGAATTGTAATGAATAGATAAATCTAAACTGACAGAAATTGGTATTTAATTTCATAATTTTGCCAGATTACAAATGTAATGCATGTTCATGGGGGGGGGGGAATGGAAAGTACCAAAAAGTACAGAGAAAATCACCTATAATTAGAGATTAGAAAACATTTGGTTTAGACATTTCTGGTCTTTTGCATAACACGTGTTATTTTAAACCAACAGTGCCTAATAAATTTCTAAGGCCAGTTTTTCTATACGACTAATAACAGTTGATAATTTCAATAGTATGGATGTGAAATAGGTATTTCACAGGCATGCTCACTTATCCTCTCATCAACAGTACTAAACAGGTAGACACCCCACTTTATAGGGAAGGAAACTGAAATGTGGGAACTTAGACATAGCAAGACCATGATTTGAAATTGGTCTACCAATTCTAACCTTGGTTTTTCCATATACCATGATTCCAGTCCCACCATCATTTTTTTTTTAAAAGATTTACTTATTTATTCATACAGAACTGGGGTGCAGGCCAGAGATGCGGAGGGTGAGAGGATTCACCAGAGACAGAGTGGGGAGCAGAACAGGCAGATCGTCGAAGTACACTGCTGAGAGGAGCAGCGGGCGGGTCAGGAGAGGTCTGCCATGCCATGTGGATCTCCTCCGGGGCAGGCGGGGATCGAACTCAGAAGTGTTTAAGCTTCTCGGTGCTGTGCTTTAACCCGCTGCGCCACTAGGGAGTGCCCCCCACCATCATTTTTGTAAACATTTATTTTACTAACTCCTAGATTGTTATCACAAATACTGCATCAGATGACCGAAAAGAATCGAGTACAACTTTCCTTAAAAAATTTTTACTTTTGGGCTGTCCCTTGTGGCACAACGGGCTAGGACGCAACATGGCAAACTAGTTGCAGCCACTTCAGTGTGAGTTCCACCCCTGGCCCCGAGCTGACCCACATGGCACAGCAGACCTCTCCTGTCTCGCCTGCTGCTCCCCTCAGCAGTGTACTTGGACGATCTGCCTGTTCCGTTCCCCACTCTGGTGATCCTCTCACCACCCCTGTACCTTTGGCCTGTACCTCAGTTCTGTATGAATAAATAAGTAGATCTTTTTTTTTTTTATTATTATGTCACTTTTCATTCCAGTGGTTAAAAGTCTAAAGCCATTTTTGCATCTTGCAGAGGTTCCCGTCACAACCATCATCACAGATGAAAGGAAAATCAAAATGACTGCAAGAAGAACTGAATTTAAAAGGACAGAACGCTGAATGGGAAATCATCTAAATACATTTCCTTTAGGCACTTGTGAAACTGAACATTTCTCAGGTCTTCAGTTTTATTTCAGTACTGATGGTTATTTTCTAAGAAAAAATAAGGATAAAATTTATCATTAATAGGTAACATTTATTAAGTACTTGCTATATGCCTGGCACTGTTACTCACCAAAGTCCACAACAGCCCTGTGGCATAGACACTTTCTTTTGTAGTTACCAAATGAGAACACAGGCACCATGAGGTGGTAGACCTTGCTCACGGTCGTCAGTGCCGGAGTGCCAAGCGGCCCACTGTCTTGACTAGAGCACACGCCATTCAGCACTGCAACAGACTGCCTCTCAGTTCCCTAGAGTTCTGAGGGACTTTCTTTCATTGGAAAGACTGAATTCACAATTGAGGGAACAACCCCAGTGTTCTGAAAATAAAATCAATGAAGGCAGGCATCACCCATGCACCATTCCTGTTGCTACCACAAAACTGAATCCTGGATCAGTGGTCTGATCCATGTGTTTATGTTCTCCACATCAGATAATACAGCTTCAGTGAAAATAATGGCAGATGTTCCTCTATTTTGCTTGAATGGTTTAATTACATGACAGCTTTAAGATCACCTAATTTATTGATGTCTTCAAAGCATCCTCACTAATAATATGGTCTTTGGCCAAGTGCTTTTTAGCATTAACACCAGCTAGCAAAGTAACAGCCTGTTTGCTCTATTCTCTCAACCTAGAGTTAACATTTTCAAATACACTAACTTGCAGCTTCCCAACTGGGACAAAGTGGCATTTTGAGGAAGACAGTTCTTAGCTGTGAATTATCTTATAATTATAAGATGATTGAGTATCCTTCCCTCCTATCTATACACACTTGCAAGCAAGCACACACATACACATTATGCCTACACTTTCTCAAATTTCCAACAGGAAGATGGCATTGAAACCTTCTAGGCTAAATAAATGGGACCATTATTGACTGAGTCACTCACCAAAAAGAAGCTGTACATCTTCTCTAAGAGCCACAGCTAAGGAAAAACTGTTGTTCAGGGCAGTGTTAATTCTGTTGACTGTGCCCTACCATCTTAAGGGAGAAGGACATTCTGTTAAAAACTGTAACTCACCAGCTGGTTCTAGGAAACCCGCATGCCCCAGCCCTTCATACAAATGCAACATTGGTGTGGCCTGAGTCACAGGGTCCCGAGCAGCCAGACAAACAGAGCCCTGTGGTCATGTTCACGGAAGTTTCTCTGTCCTGTACCAAGCACACAAGATCAGAGGCAAAAACACATGTTGATGTCTCTTCTCATCATGATCTCAGGTCTAACTGACTTTTCTCTCTGACTGTGCTTGCAAGTCATTTATCTTCTGATACCTATTAGATTTAAAAGCCCAGTGTATGAAAATGCCTCTGGACACCTTCACTGGTGCTTTTTGAGGGTATCCAGGGTTTGAATTCACTGCAGCACTTGCCAGGACCAAAGGAGTATCTGATCCTGGCCCAGGGTAACCGTCTTATCCTGCAGAGCTGTGCAACTTTCTCAGTGTCAGGGTAGCATTACTGTAGCCCAGCGCTTCTTACATCTGAAGCACAAGTTTTACTGGGGATCTTGTTAAAATGCACACGCTGTCCCTACCCAGTGGCGCAGCGGGTTAATGTGCAGCACTGCAAGCGAGCCTCAGCCACTCAGTGCAAGTTCAATCCCCAGCCCCGGAGGTGACCACATGGCTGGCAGACCTCGCCTGTCTCGCCCGCTGCTCCCCTCAACAGTGTACTTCGTTGATCTGCCTGTTCTGCTCCCTACTCTGTCTCTGGTGAAGCCTCTCACCACCCCCGCACCTCTGGCCTGTCTCCCAGTTCTGTATGCATGAATAAACAAATCTTTTTTAAAAATGCACACTGATTCTGCTGGTCTGGAATGAGGATCTGCCCTTCACTAAGCTCTCTCGTCCCCTTGCTGTTGCTGCTGCTGCTGCTGCTGCCCCTCCATTACTTAAGCATGAACCATCCCGCACTTCAGCTTCAAGGAAACTGCCCTGATGGAAGTCTGGGAACCCCAGGCCAGCACTATTTGATAGGTCAGTCATCACTAGATTCCTAACCCCTAAGAGGTGCAGGAAAGGTGCAGGGGCATAGACAGGGGAGGCCACTCTCCACAGGATTTGCATCTACACAGAAGGGGACACACTATTGCATATGAGGGAGCAAACAGATGTCACAGAAAGGAGGGCCTGATCTCTAGGAGGTGAGGTTCTCTGAGGAGGCC